TCCATTACTGCATTACTTTACTTAGGATGATGGTCTCCAATTCCATTCAAGTTGCTGAAGATATTATTTAATTCTTTTTCTATGGCCAAATAGTATTCTGTGGTATTTGTATGTGAGTGTAAACGTGTGTGTGCGCGCACGCGTGCCACATTTTCGTTATCTACTGATCATTAGCTACTGTCATTAATGGACCTTTGAGGTGATTTTTTAATATAGTGTTAGGGATAGGTCCAACTTCATTCTTTTGTATGTGACTGTCCAGTTGTTTCAGCACCATTTGTAGAAACGACTATTATTTCCCAATTGAATAGTCTTGGTACCTTTGTTGAAAATCAGTTGATCATAGATGTGTAGGCTTATATCTGGTGTCTCAGTTCTCTTTCTTTTTTTTTTTTTTTTTGAGTTGGAGTCTCACTCTGTCGCTCAGGCTGGAGGGCAGTGGCACACTCCTGGCCACCATAGCCTCGACCTGCTGGACTCTGGCGATCCTTCTGCCTCAGCCTTCCAAGTTGCTGGAACTACAGGTGTGCGCTACCATGCCTGGCTAATTTTTTTTTAATTTATTGTAGAGATGCGGTCTCACCAAGTTGCCCAGGTGGGTCTTGAACCCACGAGCTCAGGCAATTCACTCACCTTGGCCTCCCAAAGCACTGGATTACAGGCTGAGCCACCGAGCCTGGCCTCAGTTCTCTTTCATTGATCTATATGTCTGTCCTTCTGCCAGTGCCATCCTGTTTTGATTACTGTTGCTTTGTGGTAAGCTTTGAATTCGGGAAGCGTGAGTCTTCTGACTGTTTTCTTCTTCAGTGTTATGGCTATCTGTTGGCCCTTTGCAATTCCATATTAATTTGAGAATTGGCTTTTCCATATCTGTAAGAAAGGCTGTTGGAATTTTGAAAGAGATGGCATTGAATCTGTAGATTGCTTTGGGTATTGCTGGCATGTTGACAGTGTTATCTTTAAATCCATGAACATGGGATGTCATTTTATTTATTTTGGCCCAATTTGGATATACTTTATAAGTCTTGCTTAATCGTTCTGGCTAGAACTTACATACAATATTGAGTAAAAGTGAGAGCAGTTATCCTTTTCTTGCTTTTTTTTTTAATTTTAAATTTTAAATATGTGGGGTACAATTCAGGGTTGGGTATACAAATATTCATTATGCAGGCACACTTATTGATGAAGTGTGCCCCCTACTCCCCTGGCAGTTTCCCACTACTGCCAATCCTGACCCTGCCCTCCCCTGGCAGTTTCCCACTACTGCCAATCCCTTTCTTATAGTATTACAATAGTTGTTCAAGGTCCACTTATGAGTGAGAGTATGTGATACTTGATTCTTTGTTTCTGTGAAAGATCACTCAGTATTATAGCCTCTAAGTCCATCCAAGTTGCAAAGTTCATAATTTTATCCTTTTTTATGGCTGCATAATATTCCATTGTATATATGTACCAAGAAGACTTTCAGTGTTTTACTACTGAGTATATCAGCTGTGGTATTTTTTGTAGATGCCATTTATCAGGTCTAGTAAGTTCCCTTCTATTCCTAGCTTGTTGAGTGTTTTTATCATGAAAAGATGTTAGATTTTTGTCAAATGCATCAGTTGAGATGAGTGTGTGTTTTGTTTCATACATTGAAACTCCCTTGCATATTCTGGATAAATTCCACTTGTTGACAGTGCATAATCTTTTTTAAAGAAATTATTTTTGTGTTAAATTACGCATAACATGAAATTTACCATCTTAATCATTTTAAGTATACAGATTAGTGACATTAAGTGTATTCACACTGTTATACAACCATTGCCACCATCCATGTATTTCATCTTGCAAAACTGAAACTCTGTTAAGCAATAATTTCTCATTTTCCCCTCTTCTCTTGTCCCTGGCACTCACCCTTCTACTTTCTGTTTCTATGAATTTGACTATTCTGGGTACCTTAGATAAATGAAATAGTGTTTGTCCATTGACTGGTTTATTTCACTTAATATAATGTCCTCTAGGTTCATCCATGTTGTAGCATGTGCCAGAATTTTCTTCCTTTTTGAGGTTGAATACTATTCCATTATATGACAATACCATATTTTGTTCATATATTATCTGTCTGTGGGCACCTGTATTGCTTTCACCCCTTGGCTACTGTGAATAATGCTACTGTGAATATCGGTGTACAAGTGTCCTTTCCAGTCTTTCCTCCCTCCCTTCCTCCCATCTTTCCTTCATTGTTTCTTCCCTTCCCTTCCCTTCCCTTCCCTTCCCTTCCCTTCCCTTCCCTTCCCTCCCCTTCCCTTCCCT